CAGCAAATAGTGTTCCACATGTAAGCCATTTGTGCGACATAATTTTATCGACATTGTCGGCGTTAGTGGATCTATAATATCTTCCATGTAGCGGTTTGATTGCCCAAGCTTGCTCTTTACACTGCCGATCTTGTGCTTTTCTTTCAAAAGTTCCTTCCAAATTTAATGGTGTGTAATGCTTGTCTGCTTCGGTTAAAATTTTAAACAAGATATCATTTTCTGCGTTCTTTAAAAAATATTCTCTCATTGATATAATTTGATTGTCGTGTAGTTCTTGTAGATCAATAAGGCCTCTACCTCCTTCCTTTCTAGGCATAGTCATTCGCTCACAACATGACTTTGGATGGTGGAATTTGTATTCTGTGAGCATAGTTCGTATTTTTCGCTGCATCGCTTGTATCTCAGTCGTTGTCCATTGTATTATTCCGAAACAATAAGTCAGAATGGGAATAGCAAAAGTATTGATGGCTTTTATCAAAGATTTACCCTGCAGATTCGTCTTGGCTATCTTATGAATGCGTCCTTTAAATTTACTATAAACTTTATCTTTTACAGCTTTGTGTGCTATTCTTCTGCTTTGAGATACACCAAGATATTTGTACAGTTCGTCTTCTTCCATGTCTTTAATAATCGATTCGTTTTGCTCAATATTTTCGAATTTAACGATTTTTCCACGAACAATACTGATTTTTCTGCATTTTTCAATGCCAAACTTCATTCTAATGTCATTACTGAAGTCCTCGACTATTTTAATAAGCTTATCTAAGGTTTCTCGCGTCGAAGCATATATCTTTAAATCATCCATATACTATTCTTCTGTTCTACGCACATTATATCGTTTTGTGTAAGGTATGTATTTATAAGATCGCTAATACAAGCAGTCAGTATCTTATATATTGTTGGGAGACAAGTAATTGGACGGCCATTTGCTGGGTTTCCTTTAAATCCATTATTCTTCGCCATTAGATATGTTTTTCCTTTCGTAAAAATGATTGGAAATGTTGCGGGGTTTTGTAGACATTCATTTAAAAGTTCAGTTAATTTTTGATGGACTGCAGTAAATCTTTTAAACCAAAAGTTTTGTATGTGATCTGGTCCAGGAGATTTCCAGTTGTGTGTTTTTGCTATAATTCGTTTGACCTGATCACATGTAATTAGACAAGTTGACATTTTTTTTTCTTGATATTTCTCTTTCTCTTTTTCAATCCAATGAGCGGATTCATTATGTTTTTGTGTATTGGACCACAGTGAACTCCAGTAATTTTCTGCACTATTCTTACTTGGATATACGTCGTCTGACGTATTGGTATTGGATCGTATTTTTCTATAGAATTGCTTTTCGTTGTTGTTAAAGAGTCTATTGTTTTCTCGTCTTTGATTCGACAACTTGTATTTACGCTGTCTCGCTACTTGTACACATAGTTTCTGTTTTATAGTGTCTGTTGTGTTAATAATATTCGTGTGATTTGTTTCGTAGCGTGTGTGAAGATTGTATGTTTTTAATATCGTATTGATCCTGTTTTTAAGTCTTCTTGTAGGATTGCCTTCAATGTACTTATTTATTCTTTCTAAGTCTCCTCTTAAATGATCAATTTTAATTTGTATTCTTCGTAGCGTATTACTTTTATTTCCATAAATTGCAGCTCTTCGTGGTCCATCTCTGGGTTGTCCTATCTTGCATCCCATTGTAGTAGCAATTGTTATAGCTGATACATATACAATAGTATGTAATTCTTGCAAATTGCTCACATTGTTCAATTTTATCAGGATCGCATCATTGTTAAGTGTTTCAATAAGAAAACTTAGCTTCTTACTAGTATTAATCTTCGGAATACGTGGCCTTAAAAGAGGGTTAAGGTTGCTGTAAATGTCAAATTGTTGTTCAAAAATCTCATTTAAGCTATGCTGATTAATTCTAATTCTAATTTGTTCATTACTTACATCTTCCTGCTGATCCGTGGTTTCATCGACATCAATTAAATTTACATTTAAAGCAGGAGGTGGTTGTTCATTTTCCACTTCTATCGTATTTACATTATTACGTGTTCCTGGTACATGTATGTTTGTAGAAGTGTTAGTTGATTCAAATTGCACTTGCTCATTTTCTGCAGTTTCTGTCGATTGATCATTACTTACTTCGGCAACCGATTCTTTGATAGCGTTTCGTCTTGATTCTGGTATAAGATTGTTTCTATGAATAACCCGTACTTGATCCGCTAGTCGCTGTTCCGATACATTATAGTCCGGATGGTGCCCAACGAATATTGTATGTAGTGTAGTTCGATATGCTGTCATATCTCTTTCATTGTTTGTAGCTATATAGTAGGCGCGTAATAAATCTTCATTTATAGTATTAGTCCATTTTCTGCGCTGTCGTGGTCTGCCAGCCACGGTAAGAGCTATATCGGAATGTATATGCTGTTCACCGGACTGCAAAGGTGTTCTATTTCTGTTGTTCTGTGGCATACTTGTCGAACAGGACCCAGGTACCAAATCCTGCACGCGAGAGTTATGCGATCCCGACGCGGTGGGGTTATCCGATCTCCCCAGATTTACATTATTTTGTGGCTGCATTATGTACTATTTGTTCACACCTCGTAGTACACGAGGTAGCATTTTATATCTACTACCAGGTATATCGTCCAGCCGCTCCTAACATGGAGTCAGACACTAACCTAAAAGCCGCTCATTCTGAGTCAGTCGCTTTAGGTTTTTTTATTTAAATCCCAGCCGCACTAAATAGCAAAAACAGACGTTGAGATAGAAGGGTTTTAGAGATTTTGGGGAGACACTTATTCAAAGGCGGTGCTGGCTCGCCTTGTCGAGGTCGGATTCAAATCTTGTGATCTTTTCTTGGAGATAAAAGAGCCCCTTCATTTACCTCAATCACATCCATAGACAGCCTCCGCTCATTGTCCGGGACTGCTTATTTAATTTTCATCTTATTCACAGCTAACCATCATATCTGATGGCCATTCCATTATACGCAACCTATGGACCCGTCCGCTTGCCTGAGCTCGGCATCCCACGGTACTTTCTAATTCGGTGGGGCGTATTATTATTATTATTATTATTATTATTATTATTATTATTATTATTATTATTATTATTATTATTATTATTATTATTATTATTATTATTAT